AGAGTGCGGAGTTTTTCTGCCCTAGTAATTTTAGTGTAGAGATTTAGGAGCCGCCCATGCCGGACTCACTCGCCCTCTCCGGACTCACTGTACCAGGTACCTTAGAGGTTCCTCCCGCCTAAGCCTGCGCAGCTAATGACTTCAGTCTGTCCAAGACAGCTCTTAGAGAAGCAATAAATTATGCACAACTCCCTTAGTCTTAGGCCTTTGGGGCTTCTTGGAGTTCCTTTACCAGGACCTTTCTTGAGAGCAAGAGAAATGCTCTCACCACGTCTCTAGAATCAGCAGTTCAGTTAACACACACATTGGATATCAACTATCTTTGGGGCCGTACTTGTCTCCTTTTTTTTTTTTTTTAATCGGGGGAACATTAAACTTGTTGTACTCTGACGGTTCATTGGTGTCCTAAGGGTGTCTTGCTTGCTTGGCTCAGGTGGGTACAGAATGTTCTAGAAGCTATCAGAAATAGGCAGGGACATTTCTTTCCTTGGGGATAGGATCTACGGGGGAGGGCCCTGGAAAACCCACAGTGATTGATTTCAGGCTTTTTTGGCTTAAGGCTGCAAGAGGTACAGATTTGTCTTCATTCACTCATTTTACCAATATTTACTGAGAAATTAGTATAGGTCAGGTACTAAGCGTGGCCCCATCACATGCAACACAAAGTTGAGCAGACACAATTCTTATTCTCAGGGGGCATTCAGCCTGAGAGAGATTAACATATAATTTTGTAGGTCAAGGAAGTCTTTGAGTTTCCCACAGGACAGGGGTTAAAGTTGGCAATCTGGTTAGAAGTTGATTCCAGAGGTCTTGCTTTGAGGTTGTGCTTGCTTTGCAAGCTCTCACACTATCTTTTACTTATGTTGTGTCTTACACGGTCGTTTTGGAGTGGTGGACGGAGACGTGGGGGGAGAAACGTAGCACCTTTCTCTTGGGGTCATCGCTGGACATCTCCCAGTCGTGGCTCCTCCAAAGGAGGCCGGGAGCGGGAGGGGACCCAGTTTGGATCACAGATGGGAATGTAAAGTGTGCCTTTGGAGCATCCTCATGGCGGAACGGAAGGAATATACACCGTGTCGGGTACTATCAGGTGGGAAGACCAGCACTCCTAATTCCAGACATGTGAGTGGCAACAAGTTACTCTCTTTAAGCGTCAATTTCCTTATCTGTAAGCCGGGATAATTATATCCACCTCACAATGTTCTTGTAGCCATTTAGAAACAATAAATAGTTAAAGGGTCTAGCACAGTGCCCGGCGCATAGTAGGTGTTCAATACATACAGGTCTCTGAGTCCTTCCCTATCCTCCCTCTCTGCTTTGCTCCGTGCCCTATTATTCATCCTCATCATTAGTTGGTCTTAGTTAGGTCTTATCTCATAAACAAAGTGTAACAGCTCAAAGTCTACCTGTGTTAGAGGTCTTTGCCTTCTGAAAGGAAAATCCTAAAGCATTCATTCAAAATCTGCGGGAGCAGTGGAGTGAAAGCCAGTGTGGTTGGTACTTGGGCAGACGGGTGTTCTGTTCGGATGGACAGAACCACACAACCATAGGCTCTCACAGCCAGAAGCCCCATTTCGGGCTCCTTGGTCTCACTCACAACCTGTACCGAAACTCCATCTTGGGGCTGTCCCCAGCCCTCTGATCTCCTTTGTACCTGACATTCCCCAGGATTTGGCAGCAATGGGTGAGGATACCTTTAGAGATGCCTGTACGGAGACAGGAAACGTATAAATCATTTCAGGTCCATGTTGTACCAGCATCAACGATCAGAATTAATTCCTCCCTAAAACATAAGAAATTGTGTTGCAAAGAGCCAACATTAGCTCGGAGACTGTAAGCCTCTCCTTCTTGTGTTCTGAAGGGGCATGAGCAGATACCGTGATAAAGCAAACATCAGCCCTTCGTTGCACGCAGGTCCCGCGTCCTTGTTTCCAAACTAATAAATACTGAATGAGTAAATAATTTTGTTTTCTCTTTGCGTTCTAAAGATTCAGTTGTATTTGGCCAAGTATCTTAGGGAATATCATTAAATACTTTTCAAATAGTGCTTTCTCTAAGACATATTCTGCCTTGGAAAATGTCTACATATCAATCTAGAACAGGGAGATGGAAGGAGGTGGGGTGTGAACCTAACTATCTGGAAGAGGCCCCTCAAAACTGAGACTGTCCCCTCCCAGGAGAGTAATTAGCAGTGGGTAGCACCTATGGTCCATTCATTCATTCACTCGCTCATTTGTCTTCTTGTTAATTCCAGAGGGGCTGGGGATTGCATGGCATGCAATGAAATATCCAGTTAAAGGAGTTAAAAATCTTACCCAAACAAATACACTTATAAATGATAAAGTGCCAGAAAATAATTTGATTATAAACAACTGACTCCAGGATATTTAAGAATAGAATTCTAATATTTTATTGCCTATCATCTATCTATCTATCTATCTATCTATCTATCTATCTATCTATGTCTATATCCATATCTATATATATGGATATAATATCTATAGCATGAATGTGTAATTTTATATGTATGAATAATATGCAGTTTACATAGGAGATGATGTTAATTCTAAAGGTCTATACTCATTAGCCAGGAAACGTAGATTATTACTTCAAGATTTTTCTCTACCAGGGTATTTTGTGATGATTCTATTTCCATCTTAGATTTACTTAATCAGTGAGATAAGAAAAGTTAAACAACCTCATTATATTCTATGTTAATTTTGTCCTTGGCTTATCAGGTAATAGAAAACATGCTTTGATTTCCACTTACTCAGAGGCCTCACATCAGCTCCAACGCTTGGAAGGAAAAGGATCCTTGTTCAGGAAGTTACTTATTGGACAATTAACATGTGGAAACTATACCAAACAGTATGTGAAAATGCTCAGTTCATGTTGAATCTCCAAAGGGTGGAGGCTCATTCTTCTTACAAGACCGTGACATGTCTTGCTGATGGCATAAATGGGATCATTATATTTCAGTCTCCAGGTAATTATCAGAAATGAAGCTTTGTGAATTCTCCCCTAATGGGGCCACCTGTCACCCTTCAGTCTTTGTATATAATGGCATTTTGTTTCTGAAGATCTGGGCCCCAGTTTAGCTCTTCCAAATGTTAGGGACCATGTCCTGATTTCCCCTTGTCTTACTATGATGAACAGATACATTTTCAGCTGGTTACCCCCCCTCCACCCAACATGTGACTCTGCGTGTCCAGAGCGCCTGTGGCAGGCGTGTTAAGTTATAGCAAAGCCAGGTGTTTGGCCATCATTGCTTGCTCATCGGCAGACTGATTGCTGAGATGTCAGTGGGGCTGTGGGGAGGGTAGGTGTGGGCTGGTGATTTACTCACCCCAGCCACACCCACTCCCTTCCCCTCCCTGTCACCTGCTGCTGGCTGCCCTGGGCTTGTGGTGGCTGCAGCCAGCTGTTGCGGAGACCCAGGGCAGGCAGGCGGTGGTGGCCAGGGCACTGGAGTTTCTGGCTCATTGCTTAGGGCCTCAGGAGAATGCCCACTGCACATGTTTTCTACTGATGGGCCGCCTGTGTGTACTCAAGGCCTTTCGGCTGAGGCTAGACAGAGAATGCACACTGGCTCTGAAGTCCCTTGTATGACACACAGTCTCTCACACATACTGCTCTCTGTGCATCTCTGTGGACGATTCAAGACCTGTCACTCCCAGGGGATTCTGTGACAGCCCTATCGTCGTCATGGATTGTTGTCAGATACGAAGAGTTAAACAATCCCCCTATACTTCATGTTAACCTTGTCCCGGGCTTATCAGGGAACAGAAAACATGCTTTGATTTGCACCCCTGCAGAGACCTTTGTGCAGGACAGGACTTACTGGAAAACTAATGTGTGGAAACTATACCAACCAGTATGTGAAAATGCTTGGTTCGTGTTGAATTTCCAAAGGGCAGATGCTCGTTCTCCTCGTTCTCACAGTGAGGAGCTGGCATTGTTGGGTTCAGTAATGACTGCAAATGGCAGATGTTCTTCCAGAGTGTGGGGGCCTCCACGTATAAATACAGTATTTTCTCTTCCTTATGATTTCTTAATAACAGTTTCTTTTCTCTGGCTTTCTTTATTGTAAGACTATAGAATATAATGCATATAACATGCAAAATACATGTTAATTGTTTATGTTATTTGTAAGGCTTCCAGTCGACAGTTGGCCTTAGTAGTTAAATTTTGGGGGAAGAAAAGTTCTACACGGATTTTTGGCTGTGCAGGGGGTCGGGTCAGGTCAGTGCTCCTAACCCCCACATGGTCCAAGGGTCTACGGCACTTTCATTGGTCATGCCTTGTGTTTGGTTTTCTAAAATAAGGGGAAAGAACCTTGAAAGTCTTTTACATTTGAGTGAGCATGCTTTCTCATTTCTTTTTGTTTTTAAAAAATTTTTTTAACATTTATTCATTTTTGACAGACAGAGTGCAAGTAGGGGAGGGGCAGAGAGAGAGAGGGAGACACAGAATCCGAAACAGGCTCCAGACTCGAAGGTGTCAGCACAGAGCCCGACTCAGCTCGGACTCATGAACCATGAGATCATGACCTGAGCCGAAGTGGGACACTTAACTGGCTGAGCCACTCAGGTGCCCTGGATGCTTTCTCATTTGAATGAGAAGTGCCTTTCAGGACTTGGGAGTGAGGGTGGGAAATACCATTGAGTCCAGGTCTTGGCAATCGGAGGGCCTGGATGATCCAAACACTTTCCTTTCCTAAAGAGTTACAGCCTTACAGGTCTGGTCTGTATGGATTGGGGACCACAACATTACAGGGAAATATAATTTCATGCTAATTAGGACTTTTTACAAACCACTTCCAGATGCAAATTTTAATCAGTAATCAAAAGCGTTCACTGCTAATGTAGGAAGATCTTCAATACATCCTTATATCACCAAAAGACTTCCCTGCTGCAAGCTCAACCCAGATCAAGTGTGTGCCAAATTGACCTCTTAACCTATCTGAGTCTTAAATTCTCTTGCAAGTGATGGTTCTTCAGAAACATCCCCAATCTTCCCCTCCCTTCCCTTCCCTTTCCCCAGCTGGATAAGACGCAGTCACGTCAGACCCTGGGTGGCCAAACCGTCATTCTCCTTTAGCTGGTGGCGTGAGTTTGGCCACAGCCCCCAAGTTGACACCTGTTGAAATAATATTGGAACCATGTTTGTAACTGATCGCAACCAGGATGTCAACTCAATTAATCTGACAATAGGACAACCCAGGAGAGAAGACCCCGTTCAGGCCCAGGCTGATGCTTCCAGTCAAGTCTAGGCTTGTCTATTCTCTGACAAGCCTAGGACAAAATTAACACTAAATGCAAGGTAATTTAATTAATTCCTCCTATCCCAGCAGGCAGGTCCAAGCACCCCGGGTGCCCCAGGCCTTCCAATAAGCAGAAGAGTGTTGCACCCCCAGCGAGGAACCACTTAGGTTGGGCTTTCATTATTTTAAGTGGGTGATTTGCAACCATGGATCTCCGTGAAATTCCTTCGAGAACTACAGCAAAAGTATAGTCTTTTCTTACACTTGAAGACTTGGCAATAAATTGTACGAAAATCATTTGCAGGAAAACATACCTTGTAAGAGTCAGGATTCTTCAAGGAATATGGGCGCTTCCCAAGGAGAGGAGAGAAAGAGTCAGAGGCAGCGACGGCGAGAAGAGAGCCAAAGACCCTGTTTCCAAAGGAACAACAAGAAGATAGTCTGAAATGTTCCAAAAAAAAAAATAAATAAATAAAGAAGCTATAATAAAATCTAAGAAAAATACACTTTGCAAAATTGTCTTATTAGGGGACATGAAAGCCACTTTTCTTTCCCAGTTTCAACAAAGATGACCCTTGACTTCCTCATCCCCACTGAATTGAACACCATCTTTTTAATTATTCTTCCCATTTTCTTGCTCTCTAATATTAAGCCAACACAAAAGACCTGAAGCAACAAATTATGAGCATATAAAAGCAAATCACAACTTTTCAGTCTGTAGAGGTAAAGCAGACAAGTTGAAAAGTCTGGATGGGAAAAATGAGGCATTGTATGGCTGTAATTGTTAGCCAGCTGAGCCTCGAACTTATAAACAGATTGCCACTGGAGGTCGTGAGGAGAACGTGGGCTTTTCGTGGATGTCTGTGGAGTAGGGTAGTGTGCCGAAAACCAGGCCTATGTTCTTACCTGGGGCCCCCGGTGACTTGTGACAACCCAAACTGAAGGCTGGCTAGGACCCTGTTGTGAGGCTTTTCTCCCTGTGAAGCCAATTAGATCAGGCACCAAAGCAATAGGGAGATTGATGCCCATATTCAAATGTAGATGAAAAAAGATATCTGGGTCAGGAATACCAGGTCAAGAAAAGCCTGCAGACCTCATGAAAAGGCAGATTGGCAGGATAGATTGAAATCATTAAATATGTTAATTTGCAGCAAGGAAATGAAAACTTTGAGAGAAGCCAGGGGCTGATGGGAGCCTCAGCCAACGCTGGGTTTTCATCTCTGTCCCCTGGGTTCTCTGCTTGGGCAGTTAGGTGCTGGTTTCCTGGTCTCTTTTGCCAGGGACTTGGAGTGCATGATCTGAAGTTCACCTTGATTCCATTTACCTGCTAACTCAGGACTCTGGACATATTAGAGCAGGTACTGCCCAGCCAGGGCTGCACATTAGGATGACCTAGGGACCTGTTAAATATCCTAATGCCTAGACCTGTCCCAGATCAATTCAATCAACATCCCTGGGGGGAATCCAGGAATCAGTATTTGTTTAAAAATCTCCAGGTGATTCCACTCCAGGTGGCCAAGACTGAGGACCACCAAATTCTCATTCCTTCTAATAAATAGGAGCAAGAGACACCTATGTAAACAACCCCCACCCCTCAGCTCCACCATCCTTGAGAAGAGCTGGCTTTTTTTTTTTGATGGGAAGGAATCAAACCAGTTGTTCAGCCTCACATCTCATATTCTGTTTCCTGGCAAACAGCTCAGGAAAAATTGGAATCAGTGACAGATCACAGGTGTAGATAACCGCAGATTATCAAGGCTCCTGATGGACAGAGCTGGACAAAGCAGCATGGGCCATCCCAGCTAGTGGGTGGGCATGGGCTGTTGGAGGACTTAGCTTAGTTCTCAGACTGGTTCTCCCAGCCCTTATAGATGTTCTTACTAGTCTCTTGTCCTTTGCAAAACCACTAGCATGGTGTGCATTGTCCCTTGACCTCCCTCCAGGAAGAAGAGAAAATGGTGGCCCATAAAAAACAGTCACCATGAACAGTGGGTTAAGGTGAGCTACTCTTTTTAGCAAAGTGCACTGTATTGAATGGTGTTCTCCTCAAAGTTCATATCCTTCCAGGAACCTGAGAGGCTGACTTCTTTGGAAGTAATGTTGTTACAAAGGCAATTAGTTAAGATGAGGCCACACTGGAGTAGGGTGGACTCTTAATCCAATGTAACTAGTGTCCTTATACGAAGAGATGCAGAGAGGCACACGTAGGAGGGTGAAGCCACATGTATTACTCTGCGAGGGCTGCCACAGCAAAATATCATAGACAGGCTGACTTACACAATAGAAGTTTGTTTTCTCACAGTTCTGGAAGCTGGAAGTCCAAGATCAAGGTGTCGGCAGATGGCAGTTTCTTCTGTGGTCTCTCTTCTTGATTTGCAGATGGCTGGCTTCTTGCTGTGCCCTCGTATGGTCGTCTTTGGGTGATGTTTTTTTGGTCATAATCTCCTTTTCAAGTCATATTGGACCAGAGCTCACCCTGATGGCCCATTTTTACCTGATTGCCTCTTGACAGGTTCTGTCTCCAAGTACAATCACATTTTGAGGTACTGGGGGGTAGGGTTTCAACATATGAATTTTGAGGGGACACAACTCAGCCCATAACTCCATGTGATGACAGGCAGAGATTAGAGTGACATGTCTAAAAACCAAAGAACTCTACGGATTGCCAGAAACCTCTAGAAGCTGGGAAGGGGCAAGGGAGGATCCTCACGTAGAGCATTCAAAGGGAGCATGGGCCTACTGACACATTATTTTGGATTTTCAGTCTCAGGATCCCTGGGAGAATAAGTTTCTGTTATTTCAAGACACCTGGTTCGTGAGGATTTGTTACAGCAGCCCCAGAAAATGTACACTGTGTATATGAGGCTTTTCCCTCTAAGTGTCTACAACACAATGTAAATGTCTAGACACAGCGAGAACCTTTGCCCTCCAAGTAAGCTTGCACCACCCCTGCAGGCCCCAGCAGAGGGCACCAGAAGAGCCCTAGGATGGACTCCTCACCTGCTGCTGGGCCACCGTCACTGCGACACACTTCCCATAGGGGACCCTGGGGTGATGGCCAGTGGTGACGTCTCCTCTGAGTCCTTTACCAGTCCTCATGTGCTCCTGAGGAATGGTCCTCTGAGCACAGTGCTGGCTGCAAATCACCCGTCAGAAGCTCTGCCTGGGATCCGCCCCCACCCCACCCCGGGACTAGGGTGATGGTCATGGAGATCTGTTGCTTATTTACAGCTCTTAGTACCTGGCCCAACCCAAGCTCCTGTTTGAAGAGTGACAATTGTTACCAAAGCCCACATGGACAACAGCCCTCAGGCCAGGCAGCAGCAGGACTGTAAAGGGACAGGTCAGCATGCCCACCCACCCCCCACCCACCACGACCCACGTTATTGAGTAGGTTAATTTACAAATTAACCCCCTCGCCTCCCCCGTTCCTGCCTCCCAGAGCCAAGTGCAGCTGGCTGGCTTTGGACAACATCGGCAGTTTCTGCTCACGGAAGAGGGGCTGTGGGCTCCCAGGGACCGCACAGGGAAAATATCTCAGGAAGGAAATTCAGCGGCAAACCTCAGAGTGCGGTGAGAACTCCACCTGCTTCCGTCTCTCCTGTGGCTCTTTCAAGGAGCTGAAGGCTGTGCTTGGGGGTCCCTGGTTTTCCAAAATGCATCTGTGTAGCTCTAGGGCTTGTCCGTGGTGGACCAGCCGCCCATTACCTGCTGAATGAGCAAATAAATGGATGGGTTTAAACACAGAAGTGTTTAACTCAGAGAAAGCAGTTCCTGTGAGGCAGTTTGCACATAGGGGTCAGCGGCCCTGGGTTCCTCTCCTGGCTGTTACCAGCCCCTGTCACCTGTTCTCTGGGTCTCCATGAAAGGACGAATTAGGACGCACGCCCTCCAGTTGTCTAATGGCTTGATCACTTTTCTTTGGACTGTGCCTTTTTTCTCTGCTTGCTTTTGGCTCCCGACCTTGCAAATGAGCTGAGGTGTGTCAATCAGGTCCTTGAAGCCCCTTTGCAAGGCAGTGGGGCCTGAGGGGGGGAGGGGTGGAGAGACCAGCCAGTGTCAGCATTCGCTCCTCTAGGTATCTGCAAATAACAAGAAAATAGAAGGTTGTACAGAGCCCAGGGCCTGGGGACTGGGTTTAAGAATGATTTGTAAACTAGGAGTAGGGGAGAGAGGGAACAGAGGAGAGAAAGGGCCTCAAAGTGGAGGGGTGCACCAATTAGATCTGCAACAGGCAGGAAGCGCCCCAGCAAGTGAGGAGTGATGAGAAGCCCCTGAGAGGTGCTCACTTTTTCAAAGGGAACATGCAATTTGTAAACAATCAACATCTTAACAAGCTATAAACAGCCAGCCCTGACTTCCAGCCGATTTACTGATGCTTGAGTGACTAAAATTCACAATGTTTTTCCAAGCCAACTTCTTTCATTTGTGGCCTTGTATTCATTAGGACAGCACGCCCCCCCTCCCCCCCCAGGACTGCTTCCCCACGGGCTTCTCACCTAGTGATGCGGGCACGGGGTCCAAGCACTTTTCCGTCGTCATGGGTGCAGGCCCAGAGCTGTCCCTCATCACAGCTGGCCTTGAAACTCGTAGGATAGGATTTGTTTGTTTTGTTTTAAAATTCTAGTGTTTCAAAAAATCACCCATCTTTTAACATTCATCTGAGATGAGCAATTGTAGGTGGAGGTTGAAGCTTTCCTCCAAACTCCTCCCCCCCAGCCCTTCCCCCCTCCCCCACATCTCCTCCCCTCCGGGGAAATCAAGAAAAACAAGATTCTACTTGTCCAGGCCCTCAGAGATTCCTCGGAATTGCTGGAATCGTCACAATAAGTGGTAGTAATAGAACCATATACAGGACATAAATACAAACTGCTCGCTGGAGTGGCAAAAAATAATGAAGTAATTAGGTGAACTATTATCAGCACCTGTGACTGATTGGTACAAGCACATTTCTGGCTTTATTATATTATTATTTGTCGGGAACAATAAGCAGATTCTGACGTTGCGTCACTTCTGGCCCTGCACCCAGCTTCTCTCTCCCGAGGGCCCCACTCCCCGCAAGGTGCGAGTCCGGGGTGGGGGACGCCCGGCCGAGCCTGTGCAAACCCACAGTGGCGAAGCGAGAGTCCTGCTTCCCAGCCCATTAGGGTTAATGCCACTTTAATTAGCCATTGATGTGACGCCTAACTGGCGCTATTTAACGCGCCATTTCTAGGCCAAGCGTGTGTCCTGCAGACAGACCAGGACCCGCTTCTGAGATGGCTGGGGAACGGAGACTTTCTAAACAAGGCTATCTGTTTAGAATCTGTTTAGAGTCAATCTGCTGATTCTAAACGGAAGTGGCCACTCAACTGTCCCACCTGTGGGCTTGTACCTGTGGCTGGCTGCCCTTCCTTCTAGTTGGGATTTCTGCCCAGAAATGCCCACTTACCAGTAATAATAATTTGATGATACTAAGAGTTAACATTTGCAGCGCCTGGGTGGCTCAGGTCTCTGACTTCAGTTCTGGTCATGATCTCATGGCTTGTGAGTTCGAGCCCTGCCTGGGGCTTTGTGCACAGCTCAGAGCCGGGAGCCTGCTTTGGATTCATGCTCTGTCTCTTTCTCTCTCCTTCAAAATAAATAAACATTAAACAAATTAAAAGAAAAGAGTTAACATTTATAGTGTTGTGTTGCACCAGGCCCTTTTGATTCATTGTATATATATTTACTTATTTACTCCTCACAACAACCCAGTGAGATAGATACTGTTAATTCCCTCATTATATTGATGGGGAAACTGAGGCACGGGAAGTTAAGTGACTCATCCGAGATCACAGGACAAAGACCCCAAGACCAGGAGTTTGGTGGCAAAGGGCACACACTTAATCTTCTGTCTGCTGCTTTCGGTCAGTGGATTCCTTACGAAACTATGGACCAAGGGATACCCACAGTGTGCGTGGCACAGGCTGGGCTCAAAGGAGAGATGGGGGAAAAGTGGGGAAAGCATCATGCTAAAAAAACAAGGCAAGAAAGCAGTTTCCCCCAGACTCACTTGGGAGAATCCACTGCCTTCCGTTAGCAGGGGAAGGTAGACTTCCAGGTACAACCACCATGCATAGCGAGGCACGCATCAGCCTTCCCATTATCAGCCAGAGAAACGCGTGATGTTGGCAGGGTAAATCCCTTCTCTGAGAGCCACCCATGCACTCACCTTCTTCTGGGCTGCCTGCCACCCAGAACTTCTTGGGGTCCACAAAATTTGACTAGCTCTTAAGGATTTAATTTTTAAACCAGTTGGGTTTGTTGAGCTGCTTAGCCCAGGTGATTTTGTTTTGCAAGTTTTGCGCCAGCGGGAGGCGGAGCCATTTGCCCCCACTATCCGTTGGCCACTTCTGGCAGAAGGAAGTTGAGCAGTGGATGTTGCTGGATGGCCCCGGGCAAGTTACCCAACCTTCTTGGATCCCAACTTTCTGATCTGTAAAATGGGACTGATGACCTCATTTTCCTCATAGGCTGTTAGGATTAAGTGACTTAATAAACATTAATCACCGATTACTATTATATGCAAAGGCAGATTGATCGTGAAGCTATATGAATCTCACCCTTGGGGCCCCTTGTTTTGTACATTCCCTCCCAGCATATTTTGTATTCAGCGTTCTGCCTACTTTTCTTAAAGAAGGTCCCAGATTGTATAAGCTTCACGCCCCTCAAAACCTGGATCCACCCCGTGATTATCTAGGAAAGGAAGCACGTGGTTTGGTAAAGTGCAGTCCGGCCTTGCTCAAAGATGTGAAGCTTCTATGTTTCGGACATGAAGACATGGGTAAAGGACTCTCCTCTGTGGAAAGAGGCATAAACTTCTAAGACAAGGACCCATAGAAGACAGCAGATGCTAGGCTCATTACAGAGTGGCCACCTCGGCCTGATTTGCCAGGGATGGTACCAGTTTTAATGCCTAAAGCACCGAGTCCCAGAAACCCCCTCAGTCGGGGCAAATTGGGATGCTTGGTCACCTTACTTGCTGAGGGCAGCAAATCGTTGCCATTCACCGCAGATGAATGCCTGGTGCCTGGCAGGTGCCCAGTGCCTGTCCGTGGAAAGCGGGGTGTGGAAACCAACCATGGCACCCGATGGGCTCGAGGAGAAAGAGCATGGTGATCTGTCACGGCAGTCCAGTGTGAAAAGCCGGTGTGCGGTGGTGAAGTCGGATCAGGACACGGGGAGAGGGTCGTGGAATGGCATGTGTCCCCAGACGTCGGGTAGTTTCTGGTTACTTCTGTGCACCCGGTAACAAACAGCAGTTCTTGCATTTAACACCCCCACCTTTTCGTTTTCTCAGCTCAGAGTCCCTGCCTGCAGCCAGGCAGAACCGTGAAGACAGGCTGGGTCTGGCCGGGGGTAAACGGTGCCCCAGGCAGATCTGCTGTGGGCTTTGGGCAGGCGGGCGAGCCGCTCAGGCCCCGATTCCACATGCTGTGTAGACTCCAATTACCAGAGGACTTAGAGATCAAACAGCCCAACTGTGCTTCACAATGAAAGAGGAGGTCTTAATTTTACTTTGTGCTACACCCTCCAGCCAGACTGTGCAAAACAATGCATTGCATTGATGTCCTCCTGAGCCCCAAACCTTCCTGAAATTGTCTCTGTCTATCCCAGCAATATCTCCATAAAGTGGACAGGGGAGAGAGTCAGCTGTTTTAAAGAATGGCATGATTCTCGCCCGACTGCCGAGGCCATCAAGGCAACTCCAGACGGCTTTCACCACACGCTCCTACCTTGCCACAGACAGGGAATTTTCAAATCCTTATTTATTTTTATTTTCAGGTATACTTAGAGGTGTTGCGTTGGCATGTGAGGAAAATTGTGTGCATCAGCCCTTAGCTGAGCTGTGGCATAAACACAGGAGACCTGATAGAAAACAGGGAAGCCAGCAAAACGCCAAGGGCCAGAGACTGGAATTTTGCAAATTTTATTTTTCTGCTCCCTCATAACACAGTTAGGATTTAGAGAGGCACAGCATAGCCAAAAATTAGTCTGATTTCCTTGTAAGTGATAATGTCGGTTATTAGGTGAATATTCCAGAAAATGCAAATCACTTTGAACATTTAAGATTAAGGAAAGCAGAAAGGTTTGGGGGAAAAAATTCTTTGTAGACATCCCAATATGTAGGCGACAATAGGTACCTAAGCCCATGGATCTGATTTGTTTTTACATATCAGTATTTTTTTCCTAATACTTCTAGCTTTCAGACAATGGATTTTTAATTAAGGATAGTCTACTAAAGCGATGGGCCATTTCAGGATTTTTTTTGATTGGTGACTTCATCTGTGTAACAATCAGGTTTTTTGGGTTACTAGTTGCTCACAGCCTTTTCTAAAAATAAATGATATGTGCCTTAAATCAATCCATGTTTCCCTTAAAATAAAAAGCCCCTTGACAAAGAAAGTGAAAAATAAAATGAGATGTAGCTGAAGCTTTATCTCAACGTAGAGATCAGGATGGTAGTTCAAAAGGCAAATGCAAATCTCTTTTAGGCTGAGCCTTGTATATTGAAAGCACGTATTTATAGTGGAAATTGACCTTAACACACAGGGGAAATGATCTTGTAGTATTTTCGATTTTGGAACTGATATGCTAAATCATTTTGTGTTTGATGATCTTAAAAAGCAGTTCACATTACTTTGAAAGCAGCATTTTTCAAGCACTGTAAACTTGCTAAGGTAGAAAGCTAGACAGAAGCAAAATTACTTGGTTTCGGAGATTTCTAAACACTTTGTCTTAATTTTACTTTCAAATATCGAATGCTCTTCCAACCATTCCACTCTGCACACACACTGCTTATGTAGTGATTTTTTTTCTTTTGCAAAATTTACTCCTAAATGACTTACAGTCTCACTTTGGTTTGTCTTGAGGACATTTCACACAGATATACTGGAAGAAGAACTCAGAGTGTTCACTGTACTTTGGACTAGTTGACAATGCAAACTGAAAGCTGGGGACATTTATTTTCCACTACTAATTTTGGATTTCTTAACTCTTTTACTATAATAGACCTAAATTAGATGGTTGAATATCAGATTATTGGTAATTGCGAAATGTGACATCGTAACGCAGTGCAAAACGTCACGATTATGCACATGTGTAAGAATTAAGATGTCTTATGAAGTAGCACCAAATGCTGGATAAAATTAGACACCTGCCACAGAATCTCCCCCCTGTGCAAATTCGGCAGTGGTAAGCAAGTCCTGCGGGTGGTAGAAGTCATGGCCAGATCAAGGATTTCTGTACGCAGTGAAAGTTCCTGTGGGGAAAAGGTCATGCTACTTACCTTGCTTTATATCACGTTTGTTGCAGGCAAAGTTTTCTCCAATTGCTTTCCCACCTTTGCTTCTCAGGATCCAGAAAGAAATAGTTTCCCCCGCTAGTTACTTCTTAGTTGTTCCCAAGGATACGGAGATTTTGGAAGATAATTTGGCATGCTTCCTTCAGTGTTTCCTCTTAGTTGAAAGCCTTAAAGATGGACAGATGTATATTGGCAGTCCGACAGGCACTGAAATTTAGAGCCGACAAACTTGCTCCAAAAGCCTTTCCTATGGAATGAGC